CGGGAGCCCTTTGAATACCGGGTGACGGAGGCTGTTGAGTATTGGGTGTTGTGTTGGACGCGGAGGCTGTGGAGTATTAGGTGTTGCGTTGGAAACGGATGCGGGTTAAGCACGAGGAGAGCGCGGGCGGGCGGCTGGCGGGCGGCCGGCCAGCGGAGAGAGAGAGAGAGAGGAAGAGAGAGAGAGAGAGAGAAAAAAAAAAAAAAAAAAAAAAAAAAAAAAAAACTATATATATATATATATATATATATATATATATATAAAGGAGAGAGAAAGAGAGAGTGAGAGAGAGAGAGTTGAGCACAAGGACAGCGGGGACGGCGGATGGCGGGCGCCCGGGCGAGCGGCGACGGCGAGCAGAATCGGGATTTATAGAACCAGGATGCGATAAGCAGTGCGGGAGGAGGAGGAGGAGGGGCCATGACGATGCCCCCCCCCACCCCCCACCCCTGCGAGGGGGAAAAAACGGAGGAAAAGAAGAAGAAGAAGAAGGGACAAAAAAACAAAAACAAAAAACAAAAAAAAGCCAGATGGGGAGAGAGAGAGAGAGGGAAAGAGAAATAAACAAAGAAAAACAAAAAAAAAAAAAACACACAAAAAAAACAAAAAACTACCCCCCCCCCCCCCCGAGGGGGGGAAGCACGAGGGCAACAAAAAAATCCTGCCCTCTTATTACGCCGCCACAATATGTCATTATTTCAAAATGTCACGGATGGGAGAGGGTGATCTATGGAAGTTTCGTCGTCGATCTCCCCCCCCCGCATCTGTGGGTCGGTTTTGGAGACTGGGGCCGGCGGTGGAGTGCTGATCTTTGTCCATGGCAAAGTAGCGCAGCATTTTCCATCCCTCCTCATACATACAGTGTGCTCGGCCGCATCTTGCCCGCGAAATGCGCGGGAGGCAACGAGCGCCCGCGCTCGCGAGCGCGCATCTCGATTCTTGCCATGCCCAGACCGTTTTCAATGATACCATCCGTAGGCTTGGCCGTTCCAAGCTTCAGTTTGCCGCGGCCACCCGGGCGCTCGGGGGCGGCATCAACTTCTGCGATGAGGGGGGGGTGGGCTCGGGGTCAAAGATGGCCATGCGAGGGTTGCCTCTGGACACATCTCGCTCTTCCCCCACTCGCAGCGCCCCATGCTGGCGGAAATCCAGCAAGATGCCAAACGCGCAAACCATGATGAATGATGAGGTGTTGTCACATTGGCAGGTTAGACAGGATCTATCTCAACACGCCCTCTATGGACCGAATCGACCACAGACCGACTAGCGGTTTTGTCTGGAACATTTTCCGCGACAAGCTGCTGCCTGACCACGCCGGTTTCTTTCGCCGCTATCTGCTCCAGAGCGCTCGTCAAGGATGAGCATTCCGAGGTGGGCTGCTAGGAGTTAGTTGTTCGCAGATGAGCTCATCAGCCTGCTCGGCGAGCTCGTCGCCTCCCCTGGCCCCGCCCAAAGGATCCTGGACTTGAAAGACCCGACGCACGAGGCCCCCAGGCGGGTTCAGCCCCGGTCGGAAATTAAAGGTCCCGGGTCCCCTGAGGAAAAATGCCCCTGGATGTTGGCCCTGAACTGGGCTCGCAGAGCAGGCCGTTAGGAGGTGGCGCGCAGAGCTTGCGGGTCTTGCCCATCGTTGTCCACCCGTTGCGACCCAGAGGTCATGCAGTGGCGCGACCTCGCCAAGTTCCATGCTGAGTTTGCGAGGACGTCGAGAGTGCCGCTTCAGAGGCAGGAGGAGGCTGTTGCGCTGAACCAGTCGTTGCACCCGTCGGCAAAAGGAGCAAGGCCTGCACGGTTACGTGAGCTGTCGGCTGCATGGCGGCCTCGGAATCGTCAGATCCACCTCCGTTCGGTCCGACGAGCGCGGAGCGCCGCGAGCGTCTCCGATGCATTTGCGAGGGCTCTTGCTGAACATTGGGGTGCGATCGGGAGGAGCTATCAAATTTCCGAGGGCAAGTTCGAGGTCCTGGACCAAGTCAGTCGGATTGTTTCTAGAGCTGAAGTTCGGGAGCTGTCTGAGGAAGAGTTTCAGGAACTTGTCAAGAGATCCAGAAATTTTACTTCGGGCTCGGGTGGCATTCCCCACGCTTCGCGCAGGCTGGAGGCTTAGAATTGCCAGTGCATGAATTTGATCAGCTGCATCGGCACATCCTAAGGTTTGGGGAGCTTGCCACTGGCCTAAGCTACAGTGCACCCGCGGTTTTGCCGAAGGGGAAGGAGGAACCGGGTGGAAACGGGCAGAGGAGGTCCACCGATGCCACTCGGCCTTTGACGCTGAGCAACACGGATGATAAGTGAATCGTCGTCGCCTTATCTCGTCCGCCAACGAGGCTCACACCGTCGATTTGCTCGGGGATCAAGAAAGGGTCCTTTCCTGGACGTCAGGGACTCGATGGCACTATCGGTTTAGTTTCTCGGGTGGCGATGTCAGTTGATGTTTAAGGCCGTTTTGACAGCGGCGGCGCCCTCATTGGCCAAGCAAGGGCTGCGGTCGCGAGTCTGCGTCGGTCGTGGCCGTCGCGAGGCCTGGAAAGAATGGGCATCCCTTCTGACGTACGACACGCTTTCCTGCAAGAATATGAAGATGTTAGTGTATACACATATAGAAACGAATCAATAGAAAGTAAATAAATAAATAAATATGCATACACTTCAGAGGTTCGACTTCACGTTTCCAACTGATGGTTCGCGGGGCAAGGCAGGGATGCCCATTAAACTGGGCTTTGCTCGCACACTGTATTGGCCCGCTTCATCGGCTCCTTTTTTGTCGCGTGCTGGGCCGAGATTTGATCTTGAGCACAGTCCGCATGCATATACAGACGCCCCTACCCCATAGGACGCACGGCTCCAAACAGTCGCACCAAGCAGAGGTCTGGAGCCAGACCCCCCCCGCTTCCGCCCGATGCCGACACGCCGAAGAAGAAAACGCTCACGATCACATTCTCCTTCGTGCAGACTTCGTGAACGTAGTCCACGGGCCAGTCCCAGCCGACACTGCAGCGCCAGCGGCGACGCGTGCGGGGAGGGCGGGGGGCCCACTCGCTCAGAATATCGTGCCGGCTCGCCTGCGCACGCCCATGCGGGACGCCCCTGCAGGACGCTTCCGGAGGGCCGCAGGCCCCAAGAAGGCTTACAGGAGGAATATTCAAAAATTGTCAAAGAATAGCATGGGGACCATGTTTTGAGCATTGTTTGAATATTTTTGAATATTTGTAGGACATTTTAATTTTTCGTCAGAAATCCCCCTGTGTGGGGGACATGCCCGACCTAAGCCGAAGTCGGCCACGCGCAGGGGGGGGCAAAGGGGGAGAGGGGAAGGCTTCTCAGAAGAACCGCTGCCTCTTAGAAGGCGCGGGCCTTGTCTATAGATGCGCGGCCGGCGCCTTCTCACAAGAAGCTTCCCCCCCCTCCCTCCTGATTACCCTCCTCTGCGCGCCGACAAGTAACACGGCTCCAAGACGGCTTCCAAACATTCGGGAGGGCCCCGAGGCCGCCCGAGAGGCTTCCAAGACGCCCCCAGAGGCCTCCAGGGAGGCTTTTTAAGACGACCCCAAAAAACGAAAGTCGTCCCAATCATTTTGGGAAAACGCACGTTTTTGGCATTCTCGCGTTTCTCGTTTCCCCAACGCCCAAGACGGCCCCACTACCTTCTACCTACTGAGCTTACCCCGAGACGGCCCCGAAGGCCTCCCAGAGGGCCCAAGACGCCCCAGGACGGCTTCAAGACGGACCGGGAGGCGCACAAGACAACCCAAAAGGAACCCCTCGGGGCCCGAAGAACGGCCCAAGGCGGCCCAAAGCGGCCCCAAAACGGCCCAAGAGCCACTTGAGACAGCCCGAGACGGCCCACGAGGCGCCCGGCGGCCCCACAGGCCCCCACGAGGCCGAAAAGATCCCCAGGAGGCCACCGAACGGCTTCCAGGAGGCCCCCCGAGAAGGCTTCTAAGCTGCTCTCAAGACACGGACAGCGAACGAGAGGCGAGAGGCTGATCGCACGCCCGAAGGAGTTGTTTTCCACGATCCGATGGCCCTGGACGCTTGTGCCTTCGGGGGCGCCGTCGACGACGCATGGTCGAGGGGATGAAGGATCCAGGGGAGGAGGACGAGGAGGAGGAGGAGGAGGAGGAGCAGGAGGAGGAGGAGGAGGAGGAGGAGGACCAGAAGAAGGAGGAGGAGGAGGAGGAGGAGGAGGAGGGGAGGTCAGGATCAAGTAGCAAGAAGCGACGGAAGCGGCAAGCAGCAGCACGCAGTAGTGTGCGCCGAGTGCAAGCGTCGAGCCTCACGCTGTGATTTCAGCTTTTCGGCAGCATGTCCACAATCACGTGCCAGCTCGTGCAGATTCCCTCACGGGTCAGCCCTAGGCTAGACTACAACACTTGGTCAGCTACAACGCTGGGATCAGCGCGTGCGGGAAGTGCGAGCAGTGGCAGCGGGCTCTAGCGCTGCTGAGCGAGATGTGGGAGGCGAAGCAGGATCCAAATACCATCTTCTTCACTATATTGCAGGTCCCCGCGCGTGCAGGAAGGGTCCTGCACCGAGTGGCGCTTGGGACCCCCCGGCGGCTTCGGACGCCCCTAGACAGGCCCATGAGCTCGAAGAGGGCGCCAAGATGCCACAAGATGCCACCAAGGTGACCTGAGCAGGCCCACGATAGCCCTCCATAGGGTCCGAAATAGTTCCAAAGGGGCCCCAAGACGGCAAATGACGACCCTGAGACGCCCTGAGAGGCCTCCGAGGGGCCAAGCATCATTCATGTTGCTGAATTCTGGCATTCTCGCCTTCGCAGCCTCATGCCAGTCCAAGACTGCCCAATTGGCCTCTTGGATGGCCGCTGGACGGCCCGAGAGGCTTTATGAGAGGGCTGGACGGGGCTAGCCCGAATCGCCCCCGTTACCCCCCGAAGGTAAGCAGCAACAGCACGCAGAAGCGGCAAGCAGTACTAACAACACGCAGCAGCGGTATCAAGCAGCAACACGCAGCTCTGGAGGCCCTGGCTGCGTGGACGATTTCGTCCACGCAGCGGCGGAGCATGCGAGCGCCTGCGCTTTTGGAGGCCTCTTAGGCCGTCGCTGAGCACCCTTGGGGCCATCAAGGCCCGTGTGCGAGTCCTCTAGGGCCATCTTGGAGCCATCAGGGGCCGCATCGGTCAGGGGCCGCAACGCGCCGTCTGGGATCCCTGGAGGCCGTGGCTGCGTGGACGATTTCGTCCACGCAGCGACGGAGCATGCGAGATCCCGGAGGCATATTGGGCCATCTCTGAGGCCCCTTGGGGCCATCAAGGTGGAGCTACCTCCGTCCGCGACGCCCGCCTAGGACGACAAGGGCAAAGGTGGCGACTGCGACCGCGACCCCAACGTCATCCTGAAAGCCTGTCGGCAGCATCTCCGCCAAGACCCCGCCAGCCTCGCCGACGAGCTTTCGTGGCCGGTAGTCTAAGGGTTCGCCCTATCAGCTACAGCGCTGGGATCAGCGCGTGCGAGAAATGCGAGCAGTGGCAGCGGGCGCTGGCGCTGTTGAGCGAGATGCGGGAGGTGAAGCTGGATCCCAACGTCATTAGCTACAGCGCTGGGATCAACGCGTGCGAGAAGGGTGGACAATGGCAACAGGCGCTGTGCATGCTCAGAACCATGCGTTTGAGAAAGTTGGACGTTGACTTCATGTTCTACGGACTTACAGCCAGCATGTGCGAGCAAGGCGGGCAATGGAGCCAAGTGCTGTCTTTATCTAGGGAGGTGCGTGACCTAGTTACAGGGGAATGATACAAGACATGCCGTGTTCGATACATTTGTTTTGTGCAGCTGCATCGCTGGGACCGGCGCGTGGGAGATGAGCGAGCAATGGTTGATGGCTTTGGCGCTGCTCAGCGAGGTGCGGGAGGCGAAGCTGGAGCCCGAAGCCAACTATACTACAATACCAGGCGCAGCGCGTGCCAGAAGGGGGATTCCATGCGCCCGCCGGGCCCGCGGGGGCGGCGCCTCCGCGGCCACCTGCCCCGAGAGAGTCCTGCGAGTGGACCCAGAGGCCCCCAGAGCGCCCCTCTGCCGCGCAAGAGGGTTCCCAGATCGCCCGAGAAGGCCCCCACCAGGTTCCACCAGGCTCCCATATTTAGCGTCCGAGAGGGCCACGAGCACGGAAGACTTTGGCTCCTCGCCAGAAGACGCCCAACCCGCCCCGAGAAGCTCCCCAGTTCCTCTGGAGGGCGCCCGGGGAGCTCCCAAGAGAGCCCCTACGACGGCCCCGAAGACCCTCAAGTCGGCTTCCAGACCCCAAGACGGCCCCAGGGGAGGCCCAACAGGGCCGACTGTGGAGCGCTCCCCGCCCC